TCCAGACCAATTTGATATTTTTACATCTTGTAGATTTAAATGTCCTCTTTTGAATATTCATAGTTTAATTTGGGTAATATTTCTATATTTTTCATGAAAAAAAATATTAGCCCAGGAGACTGTTCTCCAAACCGAGAATCGTCCTTTGTATATACAAGTGTAAATGGGAAAGGACCAAAAATTGTTACAGAACACAGCGAGGATATAGAAAACATCTAAGAGTATACCATGCAGTCATATGGAAAAAAACCCAACTATCCCAAGCATCATTTCAGCAAAATAAGTATTCTTACTTAAAAGGATCAGGCTTGAATTTTTACTGAACATTAAATTTTCAAAAATATAAACTGAACTTTTTGACAAAATTTTACACAAATTCAGAATAACAATTAATAATTTTATCAATTAAACATCAAATACAGACTTATTTATGAAATAAAACAGGTCAAATTAAGTCTAGACCAAAAACTAATTTAAAAGACTGGAAAAACATATATACAAATTGAGATTTGCTTATCAAAATATAATTCTACAGTCAGACAAACTTTAAAATGGTACTTTCTAATAATAAATATATCAAACACAAATTACATTATTTATCAATTTTTAAAATAGGTTGAATTGTCTAGACTAAATATCAATTTAAAAGACTGGAAAAGGGCAGATTTTTAAGTACGTTGAATATTTTTAAAGTCTCAACTTGAAATTTGTTTATCAAAACATCTTTAGTCTGACGGTGACCGAATTACATCATAGTTCATCACTATAATAGACCGTCTGTACAAATATAGACATATTTAATAATTTAAAGAGGTTAAATATTGTCTAGACCAAAATAAAGACACATTCTTGGGTTAAGTAAGATAAATTAAAAATAACTCTAAGCTTATCTCATAATAGAGCATTTGTCAGCATACATAACTAAAGGTGGTATTAGTAATTCACTGGCTAAAGGACATCGTAATAGGACGTCTTTAAAACTGACATTTTTCAATATTTTATCGATTTGTATTAATAATATATCAAATACAGAAACGTCTTTGCTTTTTCTTGACCTTGATTGAAAGAACCTTGTAACTTTGATCTATTACCCTGTTCCCACTGAAAATCATTATCAAGATCTTACCACAATGTGACATTTTATTCAAACTGACATTATTACAATACATATATATATCGGCCGCTCCCCCTGGCTACGAGCCTGTATATATACATCTCTTGCTATGTATCTCTCGTTCCAATATTCCTGAGACAATGTTTTTGTTCAGTGTTGGAACAATCAATTTGTTAGAATATCTTGCTACAGCGTAACTGTCAAAATGGATGCAACAGACAGTAGAATTTTTCTTAATGAAAATGTTGATGGAGTTTTCAAAAATAATGAGAACCTGGATATACCCCATATCAAAAACCTCCCATAACATAACCCTCATATATAGTTATTACTTACCATAATAATAACAAAGAAACAAATTAAATGATGTACTCTTAGATAAGATTAGACAAATTCAGTATATACAGGTGACTCAGGCTATAACTGCTAATTATCACACAATAACTGCTAATTATCACAAAATTTATTGTCGCGAAAGATTTTATTACCAATAGTTAATAAAAGTGCAAGTCTTACATGAGGGACCCGATCAGCAATGGCATTGTAGGTGTTCCTAAAGTAATTATAGCACTTCCTTTCCTCATTTTGAAAAAAAATATTCGGACGCTTGTTCATTAATAAGATCACTAGGGGTTTCTTGTTAACTGAGTTCTCAAGGAGTGTTAAGGGGCGGGGTCAAAATATCGATGTTCATATGGAGACGAAAGTACTTTCGCGAGGGGGAGGGGGTTTTTGGGCACTTTCGTTGACCAAAAAAACATCGATAATTCGGATCTGATATACAAAAATAATTGGACCTACCCACTTTTTCTGGCACTATGTTCTGATAAAAAGGCTTGTTTTCAATAGTTCGTGAGCTTTTTTGTGTGATAGGTCCAAAATATCGGTAGATAAAGACGATAATTCGATCATTTTTCAAATAAATTCCGTACTTTTCCCTCCTCCTTTTGAAGAGTTCAATGCAGTTAAATTGCGAACGTGTGTTAATTCACCGTAATAATAACCCGGCAAATAGGATACGATTATGCCTCTCATTTGACTTTTAAATCAATGTTTTTTTGAAGTGACCTAAGCTTTCGTCTAGAGGGGGGGGTGGGGGGGTTGTTGTCCAAACGAAATTACTTTCGTCTCCATATGAACATTGATATTTTGACCCCGCCCCTAAGAGAGGATATCATATGCTATATGAGGGATATAATTTCTACCCACAAGTGGATATGATAGATGAATTATTGCCATGCTTACTCATGCAGATATCAATATCATTGAGTGGATGAAAATCATATCGTGCGCATCATAGGATGTTCTTTATATTCCATAGTTAAAATTATTGAAGTCAAACTTTCTAATGAGATTCCAACTGGTAGGCTTAATATAGGGTGACCTCAAAACAGAACTTACGAGTTCTGCTTTTTTGGGTTACCATGTATCAAAGAATGTTTCATGATATCAGAGAAGGTGATATGTCTTGCGAAACAGAAAGATGCGGTGAGATCAACAGGGTGTCCAATAGTATGTCCCCTTATCTTTAAAAAACATAATACCCATCCTCCCCTTCCCCCCCTTTATCATACACCAAATTTATAACACCTACCTAGGACATTAATCAGCATATGATTTGACACCCTGTCTATAAGTATGCAGGTATCTGTTTCCCTTAATTGTCATGAACTAAATAATAAGTATATTTTCATGAAATACAAAATGTCAGGCTTGTCATTGGTATCTCCCCTATCAAATAACAAAGATGACACCAAACAGAGGACGCCATAGAAGAAGTTTAATGCAGACATCGAAGACCTTGCCTTATGCCTTATAACCTATACTTGAAACAGAATTATAATTATATCAAATGGCAAAATGACTTGAATAGCTAGATTTGGGACAGATTTACAATACATGCATTGAATTCTAAAAAATGTTATAAGACAAGCGCTATTCATATTTTATCAACTTTAAGAATGAAAGCGAATAATCTTAATTGATTTCCTTCGTTATATAAAATATACAATAATGTCACATTTTAAACATAGTACTACTATGTGCCACAACTTGATGTTGCAAAGAATTTTCACAAAACTGTCTGGACAAAAAGTTCAAGACTTTCATGTAAGTCAAAGTCACCATAACATATCTTAATACTTCAATCAATAAAATAGATACGTTGCGTAGCATTTTAATGTCATCATCATGTAATCGCTAAAATTCCAGACACTATTACATTAAAAAAAATTACCCATCATGCTCGAAATCTAATCAGTTCCAAATTTTTCAAATCATGTTGTGAAACAATCTTAGAAATTTTAAATGAATTTGTAATAGGTTTGTCTGAAAATGCACAATTAGAAAAGTGAGATACCACTGCCTAATGCCAATCTAATGACAATATCTTACACTATTTTTGATACAATAAAAAGTTTACTCAGTGATTGATAGACAGCAGATTTACACAGAATTTGCATAAGACAAAGGACAAACACAGTAATATTTAAACCAGATATTGATTCTAAAATCTATGAGTGAAGAGATTAAAATAAAATCTTTTATTTTATTTAAAAATAAGTTGAAATGCTTTTTTAATGAAAAATAATAAGTTCCAAAAATCAATATAAGTAGAATAAGTCAACATTATTTCAGTTTCTTGCTTCAAATTAACCAAAGTGTTAAATTATTACTGTTGTGCATATCTTAATCATTACTGTCGTGTGTATAATACACAATATTTGAATAATTTAAATTAGCACTTGTTCTTCTATATAAGAAAATTTCATATCTGACAAGTTTATAGTCTTGGGAAACATTTTCTCTGGGATTTGTACAGAAAAAGAATAGAAAGTGAGAATTTTTTACATCAATCTCACGACAATCTGTTCTAAGTTCACCCTTGGTATATGCAACTACCGATATTTAATAATAATGGACTGAACTGGATTAAGTGAGTCATAGGCAATTTAAATTCAAAAATAATTGAGGCACCCCCTGGTCAGGCTGTCGCACCCACCCGATCTATTTATCTGAATATCTATACACCAAGGGTGATTTTCCCAATCTTTTCTCAATCCCCGATCAATTTTTTCTATCAAGTGACATTCATACTGCCGACTAGGTTATGGCTGACGTAAGACTTTACTGCCCGAAGGTGTTATGTCTTGTAAAATCATAAGAAAGATATTAAGGAATGGTTTTTTGTTTGTACTTGGAGATGGGGAAAGCTTGTCGACCTGATCTTAGGTCCAATGATAAATTATTGATCAAGTCAGTAAGACATTCTTTGGTGTAAAACATACTCTGTATTTTTATGAGTTTTATAGTTTACAGATCATCAACTCTTTTTATGGGTTTATATCCTGTATTAAATTGTTCAATTATTCCATTAGGTAAGCTGGTATATGTGTATATAGTCCAGTGAACTTGTCAGAATCTCGATGCAAGTAGAAATAATCTTGATTTACATCATTAAAACTTCTTGAAATCTACATGTAAAATTACATTTAGAAATATGGTTTATCAACTTTGAAAATTTAATTTGAGAAAGATTTTGAAAATAGGCTTGCACCCACCTGAAAATTCATTTGCACCTACTGCTCAACAGAAACAGACTATCATGTCATGAGAAACGGAGGGAGAACGATTTTACATGTCTACCCTAAATCAAAAAATAATTTTCCTGGAAAAATAACTGAAGTAAATTTTCTTCCTAGCCCAAAAAAAATATTTACGAGGCGAGGAACTGCAACACTTCTGCATCTAGAGAGTCTTCAGAGAAGTTTGTAAACACTTTTACCGACTAATAACTTATGTAGACCGTTCACAGTCTATAATCTGAACGTGAAAACCACAAATATCTTCCTGGGGGATATAGACATTTCAAATCTCATTCACTTACCTTCTAGTTTCATCCCTACACTAAGGCATTTTTGAAACCGACAATATGGGCATCTTTTCCGCTGAGTTTTATCAATCATACATGTTCTGTTATCTACACAAGAGTAAACCTTCTTATTCTGGACAGTTCGCTTGAAGAATCCTGGAAATAAACCAATAACAAATTAAGGCTAAGAAAAATAAAATACAAAAAGTTTTGCAAAACCTCCCTCTTGCTTTTCTAACTATAAGTTACATAACAGTATTGCATGCATATCCTAACACCTCTCTAATCGGAACACCTCTCTACTCTGAACACCTCTCAAACACTTTTTGGTGTCATTTTTAATCTGTCATAGCTTCAATGTTGGATCCTTCTAAATGTGGCAACAGGTTGCCAATCTGAACACTTTAGACTTATCCAAGTATAGTTCAGATAAGACAGGTTTTAATGTAGTTATATAGATCCTTCCACATTTAATCTCCTATAACAAAACTATTCATTGTGATAATAAAATCGGTGAAAATTAAATAAAAAAAACACAAACAATGATAGGATGTACGATTTTGAATCTAATAGATTCAGGCTTCCGCCCATCAATAATATGAAGAAAATTGAAAAGTGTATCAATGTTCTCTACAGGAGTTTTTTTCAAGTGGTTGCAAAATTCTCATTTTCATAATTCAGACCAAAATTGATCAACATATTTACCTTTTTATGGTTTTTCTCATTTTTTAAGTGGGTGCAAATGGATTTTCAAGTGGGTGCAAGCCTGTTTTCAAAATCTCAGGTGGGTGCTGCGCCCACTTGCTTTAATGCTAGGGAGATCACCGTGTATGATTCTCAGCAAATCAACATATCAAGAAATAGGAAGGTCTGTACTAGAAATTGGCATCGTGTTACATAATTTCAAAACCTCAATCTAATTGTTTTATACAACATACAATCATACATCATATAGACTTTACACAAAGGATTTTTTACTCTGAAACATGAGACATAAAGCAGTGATCTCCCCAAGATTTTTTCTCAGATGGGTGCAAACTTCAATTTTTCAGAATTCAGATCAAAATTGGTCAAAATGTGCCAATTTTTCATGATTTTTCTCATTTTCAAGTGGGTGCAAATGGATTTTCAGGTGGGTGCAAGCCTATTTTCAAAATCTCAGGTGGGTGCTTACCATGTTTAAACGTAAACCATGATACCATGGTATACCATGGTTTACCATGGTCTATCATGATCGGCAATGAAATTACCATCAACTCTGACCATGGTGGCAATGATGTTTTTTTGGTCAATTTTTGACCATGGTATACCATGGTATATCATGTTATACCATGTTTCATGGTATTTCATGTCCAAAGTTTGCCATCAAATACCATGGTATTTCATTGCCATGTTCCTGACCATCATTTACCATGGTATTACCATGGTATATCATGGTTGATTGTATTTCATGGCATTTCATTGTAAGATGTGACAATCAAATACCATGGTATTTCAATGCCATGTTCCTGACCATAATTTACCATGGTATATCATGGTTGATGGTATTTCATTATAAGATGTGACAATCAAATACCATGGTCATGCCATGGTATTTCATTGCCATGTTCCTGACCATCATTTACCATGGTATTACCATTGTATATCATGGTTGATGGTATTTCATTGTACAATTTGACAATCAAATGTCATGGTCATACCATGATATTTTATTGTTATGTACCTGACCATCATTTACCATGGTATTACTATTGCATATCATGGTTGATGACATTTCATGGCATTTCATTGTACCGTGTGACAATCACTTACCATGGTCATACCATGTCATTTCATTGCCAAAATCATAACTCTCATTTATCATGGTTTTATCATTGCATTTCATGGTTGGTGGTATTTCATGGCATTTTATTGTCAAACCTGACCATCAAATACTATGGTCACACCATGGTATTTCATTGCCATAATCATAACTATCATTTATCATGGCATATCATTGCATTTGGTGGTTGATTGTATTTCATAGCATTTCATTGTCAAACCTGACCATCAAATACCATGGTTATACCATGGTATTTCATTGCTAAAAAGAACTCTACAAGAGTCTCAAGTCTAAAATTGGTCAGAGTTGAAATGGATCATGAAATGCAATGAAATACCACGTTTAACCATGAAATGCAATGAAATACAATGATTGATCATGATATGCAATGAAATGCAATGATCTTTCTTGCAATGCAGTGAAATACAATGAAAGGCCATGTTCAAAAAGTATTTTTTACATGAAATATCTTTATTAATAAATGTTGATTAGATAACCAAATTATTATAATTAGTGATTCTGATATTCATCAAAATCACAACTTTATATACTTTTGTTCCTATATTTAATGAATTAATTTCTATTATGAATAATAAAGTTAATAACCCTAGAAACAATTTTTTTTTTGTTAAACAAATATGCTTTACTTTTATTTGACTGTTGTCGATTAAATAGGAGATCAACTTAATATTTTGTAAGTCAAACCTCCAGTCTTAGACTAAACATCTTGACTGTACTTCATTGCATTTGATGGTTTGCAACCATGAAATACTGCAAAATAGCAGTATTTTTAAATGCAAAATTTTAAGTATAGTTTCCACAGTATACCATAGTAGATCGTGATAATTAAATGGCTCCATTGCATATCATGGTTAAATGTCTAGACCATGATATCACTGCATTTGATGGTATTTGACCATGAAATACTGTGAAACGGTGGTATTTTTTAGATACAAAATTACATGTTAATTGACCATGGTATACCATGGTATATCATGATCGTTAAATGGCACCATTGCATTTCATGGTCAGGAGCGTTTTTTTAACATGGAGTTTCCCATTGAAAAAATACTGCCGTTTCACAGTATTTCATGGTCAGAAACCATCAAATGCAATGATATCATGGCCGAGAACTTGACCATGATATCATTGCATTTGATGGTTTCTGACCATGAAATACTGCGAAACGGCAGTATTTTTTCAATGGAAAACTCTATGTTAAAAACGCACTGTTAACAATGAAATGCAATGGTGCCATTTAACGTTCATGATCGGCCATGGTATTACCATGGTATTTCATTGCATTTCATGGCCATATACCATGGTATACCATGGTCATACCATGGTATGGCCATGGTCCATTTCAACATGGCAGCCTTGCCCAAGTCGGTCTCTTTTACTTATCTTGATTTCTATTATGACCCCCTTGTACCCAAGAGAAAGCCACGTGCTTTACCAACCCAGTGTTTATGTCAGTAAAATTGGACCAATCAACGACAGCCCTGACACATTAGCTCATTATTATGCATGGTCAAAAACAAGTACACATTTCACCAGGACTTTTCACGAACAAATCTTGCACGAATTCATCATGAAAATACAAATATTTTATCAGATAAATATCAATCAGAGTTTAGTGGATGCCGGAGCATCGATCGGATACCCGGAGGTGAGAAGATTTCAACAAGAAACGTTGAAATGATCGCTGAATTCAAATGATCGAACATCTAGGCTGAGATTCAATCGCTGAATCAGATCGACAACTACTGGCTAGGTCTTTGTGCATTTTGATCGCCAATTCAGTTTTAAATCAACATTGAATCGCATGATTTAATTTATATTAATGACTGCATTCCAATGTACATTTAATTACATAATATATTGAATCTCAAAAGAACCACGCGGTCAGATCATTGAATTTCAAGTCGTAGACAAGTAGTTTGCTTTGTTTATGCAGGTCATCTGATAACGCTTTGATTGGTCAATCAGCCTGAAGTCACACGTCGTGTTCATGCGATCTTGTCAATCAATAAGGTTTCGCGATACCCCTGACAGTGTAGGTACTATGGAAATCTCGAAACCGCTTAATAACTTAGAATTATATCAGCGGAGATGTATTAGATTATACAAGGCGGTAATAATTCAAGATCAGATAAGTAAAAAATACCGACTTGGGCAAGGCTAGTGGGTGCTATGCCCACTTGCTCTAATGCTGGGGAGATCACTGTCAAGTATACATTGAATTATCTTAAACTTCTCACAGCAACGTCATTACCTGAAGTGAAATAACCAACCAGATAAATAACTGTGCATAATATACAGAATGCTAAACTTAATTTGTACAATTTCCTCCACGACAGTACAGATTTATTCAATGAATAGAAAAATCAATCTTAGTTACCCCAGTAAGATCTTCAAGAACTTGGGTTATTAATGAAAGAATTGAGAAGACCTCCAGATAGGAAAAATCTTCAAAGGCATTTACATTTTATTTGGTTGGGTGAACCGATGACTTCTATTTTACAGTATGTACTTTTAAAAGCTCAGAAATAACACAAATATGGGTAATATTAGTCCATATATATTCAACTAGTATCTCTTAACCACACTTTTATATGATACCTATGGACATTAAATGACATGCTATGACTGTAAAATACACATATCTGCCATTTTTTTAGCAGGGAAAGTGGACTACCTTTGACATTCTCATTTGACTTCTTAAAATATAGCTTCAACAACACTCTAAATTCAAGAGAAATCCATGAGCTCATTGAGCCAACCTGAGTTTCTGATCAAAGGAAAGATGATTTTCTATATATGGTCATTTTCTCGACAATCCCGCTGAGCCATTATTGACCAATGTTTTTACATTATAAAAAATACCTTTCTTTCTGCTTATTGATTGCATGGTCAGGATCAGGCAATAACATGCAAAATGCTACCACCTGCCATTTGTTATAGGCATCAAACACCAATCACTGAACACTGACCAACGAACACAAACCACCAAACACCATCCAAAAAGTAAGAGACTATAAAGTGATGACATAAATATGTGAGCATGATGGGTTTTCAATTGATTTGTGACCCGGGATGCGATCACAACCAACTGTGGGAGGGGGGGGGGGAGTTGGTAAACTGTTAAATTCAGAGACTATGTTAGAACGTAAAAGCTCTGCGCTCAGGGCAGCCATGTTAACAAGAGGCTAAGTTCAATGAACAAGCATGGCGTCTCCCCTAGGTTTAAGCAGGTAGATGTCAAATTAAGTCCGATATATTGGATTCCAATTTGGATTCGGTAATCTAAAAAACAAACCCACCTCACAAAATACCTCATAAATATTCAAAGAATTTCATTTCTTTAGTTACAAAACCTCAAGCATGTAATCATCTTTTTCAGAATAAAATATCATAAATAACTTCATTTTTTGTTAATATTTGTATTTTATTGCTTTTTCTACAAGCAAAACCTCATTTTCATGTAATATTTCTTATAGGCTGGTTCAAACAGAGTTCAAGCCAACATTAGATGATTTGGAGAGTTAAAAAACACTAGGCAAAAATCACAACACGAAGTGTTTTAAAATGTGGTCAGAAAATACCAGAACTCAGGTCAAGAGTAACCTATATACTCAAGTTGTGTTTTTAAACTCATACGGTGAGAAATATCCAAGACAAACTGAAGGAATCAGAAAGAATATTTTAATAAGTACATATGAAATATTGCTTTGCACTAGTACCTGGACGGAGCCACTTGAAAATCATGTTATATTTTTGGATTAACTCACTCAAATCGAAGATTTATGGATCGTTTTGAAGCTTAGTGAAATTCTAACTATAATATGTCTGGAAATTTGATTCAGATCATAAATGTGAGAACAATATTGAAAAAACATATCTTTTCAAGACTTACAATTTCTTTTATTGTAATTTGTAGAACTCATATAAAGCTGATTTTTCTGTTGAGCTATCTGGCTGAGAGCAATTAGAGAGGCTTCTCCTGTATTAACTACCCTGTGTTTTAGGTACTAATATCAAGTACTACTCCCTAACCCCCCTATCACACCAAACTAGTTCTTACCCGTTCTTGCCAGTCCTACGAAAACGTCGTAAAACGGGCTCAATCTGGCTGTGGTCGGGAAATATGTCTGAAATAATTAGCTTCTTCGTTCTTAAACAGTCTCCAATACGTCCATCTCGTTCGCAGTTCGTTCAGGTCGCACCGCGTCGGTGTGCAACATCGTAGAACGCGTCCCTTAGTCTAGAAGGTCAACATGACCTGATTACAGAACGGTATGGTCGCCATCGAATTTTGAATCGATTCAAAATTCTAAAATCACATTCCTGTCTGAGAACGTTCATAAAGTTCGTAAATAGACCTTAGAAAGTTGCAGCTACGTTCATTCCGTTCGCACACAGTTTAAAACCAGTTTTGAAGAACGCAGTGGCAACTTGTTTGGTGTGATAGCTATGTTTTTGCTAACTCGTTAATAAGCAGTGTTGAATACGTTCTTAATCAGTTTAAACCCGTTTGCAATTAGTTCTACCTTGTTCTCAACACGTCCTCAGACAGTTCAACTCGTTGTTAAAACGTCCCTAGTAGGATTGAAGTACGACGGTTCCGTTCGTAGTACGTCCAGCTCGTCGTTAGTACGTTGTCACTCGTTCTAATTGTAGAACGTGACGACCACGAGAACATTTTGAGCATTGTCTAAGTTCTAGAGGACCTACCCGTTCGAGTACGTTCGATGAAGTTTGTAAATAGATCCCAAACGGTTCTTAGTAGGTCCAGTCCGTTCGCACACAGTTGAAGCCCGTTTTCTTAGAACGTAGTGAGAACTAGGTTGGTGTGATAGTAGGGTTACTAAGACACAAATTTTTTTTTTTCAGCTGTCATGTACTTCTATGGGAATTTGAATTTAAAATAAATGCCAGATAATTATCAAGCCACGGTCATTAGATAGCTGAATTCTGATTGATATAATCTGATTGGTTGATACAACATGAGAGGATTATCCCTTATTCCAAGAGTATAAATGAAAGTCTCTCTAAAAAGATGTGAAATGAAAGGGTATCTATATAAATAAATTATATTTTGTAAAATCAATCGTAAAAAAGGTATCTACTGTACATAAATTATATTTTATTTCCCCAAATCCCCTGGTTATAACATCCAATCTCATTATGAGCAGAAATCCTTATAAATATCACCAGTGGTCATTACTTCTCTTTGAGCTCTTAGGTTTCATGCAAAAAATATATTTGACTGTAATGCAGTGCAGGCCCATTTATCAACCTATTTCCTCTCAGCCTTTACCCCTATATACAATAAAACCTGTCTAAGTGGAACACCATTGGTACTTCCAATAAGTGTTCTACTTTGGAGGTGTTCTACTTTTAGGGGTCCATTTAATATTTAGTCAGTTTGTCTTAGGACTGAAAAGTATTCTAGTAACAGAGGTGTTCCACTTCTAGAGGTGTAACACTTTACAGGTTTCACTGTACTCCAGTAGTATTGTTTTAAATGCAAAATATGGGAAGAAAATGCGAAATTAGCAAGGAATACAGTAAACAGACAAATTAGACTCTAAATGGCATGGAAAGGTGAGAAAACAGGATAGCTTATTCAAATTTAGGAGAGAAAATATTGTGGAATGAGCATGGAAATTTGAGGAAGGGCATCCAAACAGAAAGCATCTTTTCTGATGTTCTCTAAACGAAAAAGAGAAATCGACAAGGAATAATTGAAAATAGATGGAGATAGAACTTTTTAATATAAGATGGAATAACTAAATTCATCAGTTATATGACAGGCATCATAAATCACGACAGTATACCCCCAATCCGTACCTAACTGTATCATTTGAGTATAGTGCTATACAGTGTGCATAGTACTGCAAAGTACTATTTTAGTCTATGGTACAGCACAATACCATATTTCACGATACCCTACAGTACCATAGCCGAAATGGTACAGTAAGGTACTGTTTGAGAAGTGTTAGTCAGAGGGCAGTTGTGCTGTATGGTATTGAACCAGGGTACTCACCTTTACAACTTTCACAAGTTTGTAGTCCATAGTGATACCCAGATACTTTATCCCCACATACTGGACATAACTCTTCTATTCCCATCTTTACATCTTGTTGGAATTGGTAATCTCCCATAGAACTGGAAGCTGGAAATACAGGAATAAAAGGGTTAAACTTAGTATATCTCCTAGAGAAGTTGAAAGCATATGAATGAAATGGTTAAACTTGGTATATCTCCCATAGATCTGGAAGCTGAAAGCACAGGATTAAAAGAGTTAAACTTGGTATATCTCGCAGAACTGGAAACTGAAAGCACAGGGATAAATGGGTTAAACTTGGTATATAGAAGCTAAAACACAAGAATAAAAGAGTCATACTTAATATTTCTCTTAGTGTATATATTCCATAGGCGTAGCGATCGCACCCCCCCCCATAACCAATAAAAATAAAACCATGAGAAAAAAGAAGAAAAGAGCTTTAAAATGCTTTTTATTTGAAGCTTCTAGCTCAATTTTGAAGGAAGTTGCATCAATTTTTGTAAAATTCAAAATAAATCATATTTTTTGGGCTTGTTTATGCCACAATCGCACCCCCCTGACTGAAAACCGAATTTTTTTTGTTACCCCGCACAACTATAAGCTAAAGGCACAAACAAATATATTATTTCTTTCATATATCATAAACATAAGGTTTATTAATAAGTAATGTGATAATGTATGTGATTATCATTCACCGCCTCTTTAATTATTTGCTAATACAGGTAAACGCCTACATGTATATTGCAACCAGGGGCTCATTAACAGAAACTTCATAGAATTAAAAACTCCTTAAAAAATGCAATTAGTATGAAATACAGATCATTTTCAAAAACAACCTAAGAAATGAAGTATGCACTTCTGGGATTTTTAGAAAATAGACATGACAAGGAATGACATAAGCCAGAAATATTCTAAAATTGAAACAATTTTTTGTTAGGCTGCTCGCTAGATCTGATTCTCTCTTTAATCTCCTGTTCTTAGGTTGTTTTTAAGGTTATCTTATTTCCACATATAAATCATATGACATATTAGATAGATACATAAATACATGAATATGGAGAAACAAGCCTATGTTTGCACATATCAATTGATAATTGGCTTGTAAAGATACATTTTATACAGTAAATTAATCTCCTGTTGCTTGCTTCCATTAATTAATCAATTTACTACCTTGGTATATTCAGATGTTCAACAGCTTAATTAATATTTAGTTGAATTTGAATTAAGCTTCCGTGCTCCCACTCCCATTAGTTAACAAAAACACAGAATGTAATCCTGTGCTAAGGGCTGATGTGAGAAAGTCAGTCCACCCCAGTGGGGATCAAGCCCACGCCCCCTCGCTTGCCGGGCGATTGCTCTACCACTGAGCTATAGGACCGACTGGCTTTTCCACATCAACAATGCATATATAGCATTGCAGCCAATTGTCTTACTATTTTATTGACTGGATGGTAAAATAGGTGTTAAATATTAAATACATCAAAGGCATAATCTACACCCTCTCCCTAGCAGTCGAAATGTTGAGACATGCGCAGAGCTCTATTTAGTGATATTTTCATTTCAAATATGGCGGCCAATCCGATGTCTGACGACCCTTACAAAGAATCTAGGCAGTGTGCATTTTCATCTCCTGTGAAATAACAAGTGGAATGTAGTAATTGTTTTGTATTTTATTATCATTTTGCATCGTAATTCTATGTGATGTGGTGTTGAAATGTCAACAGAAATACATATCCATACGATAATCGACTGAATCAGATAACAGATTTTTCGAAAACCCGTCTCGTGCTAAGAGTGTAAAAACTTGTATTAACATGCTCAAAAGTGCCAATGTGCACATCAATGTCAAGCTAAATCAATGTTGTGTCTAAAACAGGTAACTGATCTACTCAAAACAGTTTGTCATTCACGTATACACACTTAGCAAACACGGCGAAATGATCTGAATCTTGGAATTTCGTTCGAGAGCTAGTAATGTTTGCTCCGGTCTTCGTCATAAGTGTTCATCAGACTTCACGCATGCGCAGGAGAAAAACCATCAACCAATAACGTTTATAAATCAGTTTTGCGCATGCGCCTTACAACGGTAAAGAAATTCGTATTTATAAACGAACCAATTTGAGATAACCCGATATCAGTCGGAGAAATCTGACGATCTACGAAACTCACTTCAAAAAATCAAATGCGGACTGACGGCGTATTCTACTATGTTTGGATCTAAGATTTTCAGTATAGATAAAGTCTTTTATGATCTTTCGAATGAGGTAAGTCTCTAGTTCGAAAGACAATCGTATCAACTTGAACAAAAGTTGAGTTTTGACGAAAATTTTTAACATGCGCAGAAGTCCCATTTTCGTTGTACCATATTGACTGCTAGCTAGAACCATGCTATAAGATACAATATACCATGTAATCGAATACATTCAATAATGGTTAAATATCAGTAATATTAAGAACCAATTGTGAAGAAAGTGTTAAAGTCATACCCTTATGCAAACAAGTAACTATAATTTTGTGAACATACTTTTCATAAGGCAGTGAACTATTTTGTTAAAGTACCTTTAAGGGATAACAATAAAAGGTTGTTGACACTATTAAGTTATAGCTCAACTTTGAATCTGACAAAAGCCTGGATTTCTGAGTTTTTCCTATGACTCTGCAAATCATACGCTCTGTATACTAGTATAAAACTTTCAGTCCAAGACATGGAAAATATAATTCAATTAAACCTAAAAAATAAGCAATGCTTTTTATAGTAATAAATAAATCAATAAATCAAAAGATGAGTGAGTAACCGTTTAGACCCATCATGCAACAACTAACTGCTTTTGTAAATAAATCTATGTATTTCTAGGTTAGATATGTGTTTTATGTAGATATTTAAAAAAGAGTGGTAAATATGTTTAACACATAGTCTCTCAAAAACTGGGAATGGTAGGCCATATAATCCAAGGTTTAAAAAAAATGTAAACATGTATATGTGTGTGTGAGATGTTAATAAACCATTTTACTATGACTTTTAACATACATATGGTGCACTATCATAGATGTTTTTTGTTTATTAAATAGCTGTATAGGTGTCAACCACACAATTTTGTTTTTATATGTTTGTAACTATATGCAATAAGAAAAATAAATAAGAATATGCGTAAATAAATAAAAAACTGCTTTATAATTATGTTTCATAAACCCTAAAATCCTAAGTTACTCAGCAACTAAATCAAGTTTTTTACTTTCAGCATTAAAAACATCTAAAGTACTCTACATGTTAAGTCCTATCTTAATGTTAAACTTGCTCAATATAAAATGCTAAATACCTGATGCTTCATTCCATTCTTGCCATGGATAGTAAAAAGATCCAGTATTCTCTAATGGATAATTAAACTCCATTAAATTCTCCATATCCAAAATTCTGACTGCCCTATCCTGACGCCATTTTTTATTTAACATGAGTGTAAAAATGAATGACGAACATCGTACTAAACACTGGACTCTGGACTTGCTAACTGACCAGTGTTATTTAGTTCTTATTTATGCAGTGTTTTTAACTCGTTAATAATCTATACTTTTATAGTACATCTAGTTGTTTTATTGATTAGGGTCGAACCATTTGGCTTTTATTTTATTTCATATACAAAAATTAACATTTTCAAAGTAATGTTTTATTTCTTATATCGTCATGGTTATGTAGCTCAACAAGTTGGAGCTGTATCAAAATGATCCGAAGGAGAGATTCTCCTAATCTCCTAAAATTCCCAACTGCTCCTCCTATTCAACACACTTCATAACTGATCTAGATTTTTAACCTCATTTTCATTTCTCTAGAAATCAAATGAGTTCACCCGAAACTTGCTGATAATCACCAAGTCAAATATTTTTGTGGTTTAAAACACCACATACATATCTGACAACTTTGTCAACATTTCATATCTCCTATCTTCGCAAACCTAGCCTACTATCAAACTTAAAGAACATTTATGATGTTAATGGTTTTGATTAATCGCTTGAAAATGATAAGTAAAACACGATTTATTGTTTTGAGCTTTAATTATAAGTCTGCATGCATTCCATATCTTATGTTTCATATCCAACCGTTCATTGAGAGCAATATGTAAACATCTTAAAGGTGACGTCACAGTGACGTTACTTAAACAATAGGACAAACTCTGAGGATACAGCACAAAATCAATTGAAAATCCTATGCATAAAAATTCTTGAAAATTTCTTGATATTAATTGCTCTAATTAGCAAAAATGTGATATTTAATTATAATTAATTTAAATTAGCATTTAAAGATTAATATAATTTAATTAAATTTTAATGCCTAATTGGTTCAATCATTACAATTTCTAATTACTAAAAAATTATATTATTTGGATGAGCTACGACATAGCCTCAAACCAAAGGCTTATGTTTTTATCCAGGAACAGAACAGAATGACAGTATACCTTTTTTGAACTCAAGGTAGAACAATAAAAAAATCGATAGTACTAGAATTTCAGACATTTTATTGCCCGCAACCAAAAACAGACATTTTCATTACCTTAGATTCTCACCCTTTTTAAGAATTTGATTTTGTCTCTTTATTACTCATTATCACGACAGGCTATGGTGTCAGGGGGTCAGGGTAATTGTTATAGTACTAGAGGTCTATATCAGCAGTAGTATGCAATTGTTGACCTCTTCAGTTGAGGTCAACTGGCAAAATTGTATACTGAGACTGTAAACAGAGAAACTACTGTTGACAGTGACCAAAGTCAATAATAGCATATCCCATGATGCACAGGTGGAATACTGGCAAAACTGTTGACCGCTCGTGACCAATCAGATGTGAGTATTTACACTGAGGTGCTGTTTAGTCAGAATGCCAGAGAGACCTACCAAAAGTGTTCTGATTGGCAGGTATTCACCATTCACATATCAAGGTTTTTTAATATGCGAATTGATGAGAGACAGCAAAAACAGCACCGAGAAAAAGTATTCACATTTCAGATTAAAGAGGTGTTCCGAGTCCGACATTTTGATATATTTCACTAATACGGTAAAACCTGTGCATGTTGAACATTTTTTTGTGGATAAAACAGACCAGTGTTGGTAGGTGTTCACTC